AACTTCTGGCACATCTTTCAGAGAAACGCAGTGCCAGAGTTTAGAGCAGACGACTGAGTGGAAAGCCGCTTTCAGATCGAGGAAGATAGAAATAATGGATCTACTAAAGGAGTCTCTGTGTTCTAGAATTTGACAGAGTGAAGATGTGGTCGATACAACCTCGACCAAGTCTGAAACCAGCCTGGTTCTCACGCGTGCATTGTTCACGTGTGGTAGACGATGGACGCAGTATGATGCCAGCGAGAAGTTTAGAGATGATGTTGATTAAACTAATTCCTCTGTGGTTTTCACAAGAGGATCTGTCACCTTGTAAATCAGTATGACGACCGATTCAAACCATTCGGGTAAAACCTCTTCCGTCTCACACATTAAGCCCAGAGGTTTTGTTAACTCCAAAACCAAGGCTGAACCTCAATGTTTAAAAACCGATGTGGATAGCCCTTCGGGGCCGTTTTAGATAACTTACTTCTCGGGTAACCTCCTTTTCAGATGGAGGATTGATGTCAACCGACAGTATTTGGGCAGTTGAAGTGGGTGGCGGGGGTGGGGGTCTTGAGTCGACGGTGGTCAGCTGAACTGTGCCTTAAAATGTTCTACCTAACGTTCAAGATGGCGTTGCTGAATATGAATCACGCTCTCCAATTGCCTCACTTATGTCTACTTTCCTTGTACCTGTACTCTTAAATAAACGGAAAAGATTGTGACTGTTACCAATAGCCGCAGTCTTCTCCATCTCTCTACACTTCCCTAGCCGCTCGCCGTCATTCCTCAGACTCTTGATGAGCTGGCGTTTAAGGGATTTGCGCGCTTTGTCGTATTCCGAATCCGAAGGAATGCCTTTACGAGCGTTTATCAAGTCAACGGAGGTTGAGGAGATCCATCGTTTTTGCTTTGATCGTGCGCCAGAGTTTGCCGTTGTTTTGATTGAAATTTGGATCGCTTCCTTGATTGCCGACCAGTGTTCACTGGGTCCTCCGGCTGATGGTTGAGCTGAGAGGCGATCTTATACTTCCGCTTTAAAGGCCGATTTGCAACTGTCGGTGATAGTGTATTGTGGGCATCCGTTTTCGGCGGCTTTTCTGCGGTTTTTATCAGGCGTAGGGAGAATCTCGCCAGTAGCATAGCATGGTCCGTGTCTACGGGTGCTGACCAGGAGGAGCGGCAGTCTTCAATGGATCCTTTCCAGCGGTGGCTGATGGCGATGTGATCGATTTGAGTCCAGCGCTGTGAA